TTTCCATAAATTAGAGAAGTATGGTTTTGACTCGGAGATCAAGGGGATGCACGTGGATGCCGATGAAGACGAACGGGAATTCTGTGTGTGGATGCTCCGCCGTTCAGAAGAAATGAATGCAAACCCAGATTTGCCACCGCTTTCCGAGGATAGGGCGGCTCTTCTCCGACGTGCTTACGTCAACATGATCTTGGAAGAGGAGAAGGAAAAGAGGAAGGAGTTGGCCGATGTGTACCTCTCAACGTTGGCCGAGGTGGAGGTTGAGCAACACTTTGATGATATGACTCCTGAGCAAATCCAGAGCCGGGTTAAAGCATACCTCGAGGAGAAGGCAAAGTCGGCCGAGAAGGATGTGGAAATTGTAAAAGTGGTCACACCGGTTGGAGACGATGCGGAGAAGCTGACCGACCCTCGTGATGATCTTATTCCGGTGCCAGATGGGGCTATTGAGGCTGTTGCCAAATTGAAGGAATCGCAGGTCCTGGAGCGACTATCTTCCGGGATCGAAGTCGGCGAAAGCAGTGGCACCGGAGAGAATGTGGAGAAACCAACCGAGGAGGTCTAGAATTGATTTTCTGTGTTTTGTCTTTGTTATTTTCTTTGCTTATTGATTTGCATAAGATAATCGGGGTGCCGGCATGTCGGCATCCTTAGTAGGACATATTTAAAAGTTTATGGTGTGTAACCGGGGATGTTGGATAGCCGACTCCCTTAGTAAGAAATATTATGTAAGGGATTCCCCAGACTTTTCGAAATAATATTATATATGAAGTGTTTGAGTATGCTTGATTTTGATTGTATGTTTTGCTGTACAAATTTCAGCATTTTTTTGACCAAAGTGTTCTGAATTCGGTTTTCATTAGAAAATAAATTGCTTCAACTCGGAATTACTTAAATCATGATCCGAGTTGTAAGATTTTGTAAAACTAACTTCCGAATTCCACTTCGATCGTTTATAAGAATTTCAGCCACAAGTGTGAGTCGATTATGCGAGTTTTCAAATAACTTCGCGGAACTCAACACATTTTTAGGGCTGCACGGGAAACAAAATGAAAGTCACCGGACTTCGTCAAAGTCCGATTATGGAATGGCCCCAACCGAGTTGTTTGAATGAGTGTTCGGTAATTATCGGGACCCGTCAAATCATGTTAGCTGAAGTGACGTTTGACGAGCTTTAACCCCAACCAAACCATACGTGGGGTTTGGATGTATTACGGGGTATCAGCTAGACCGAGTGTCGCAATGCTTACATCGGCATGATATATTTGACCGAATTTCGAAAGGTTTACATCGGCATCGAGTTTGGTGCTCGACTTTTCAAAATATGTAAACTGATAGGCTATTCAGTACATCAAAAGAGGTGATTTCAGACATTCACCGAGGCAAAAGAGAAGGTCCGTACAAAAGGGAGGTCGATTATGCGACTTCGGATCCTTCATTGATAGAATTTTTTCAAGAACACTACGTTCCAAGGATATTGGTGT